GCCACGCTGGCAAATTACTTTTTTTTTTTTTTTTTTTTTTAAGCTTCCACAAAGGCAACTGATTAACAGAAAACAATAATTTGAGGAATCCTGTTCATAGACAGCGACCACGGCAACCCCACTTCCTGCAAGTGTTGTGGGGGGATGGGGTGGGGCGGTGAGATTGACATTCTCAACCCACCTGACCTTCACTCCTGAGCAAGCAAGGGCTCTGAGGACTGACTGGGACCTGGGTCCTGGGGTTTGGGTTCTGTTTCTTCCTGTGACCTGGAGTTTGATTTGGAGGGCAGTGATGCCCAGAGATGTGACCCTCTGGGTTACACCCTGGGCAGCCAACATAGCAGCCTAGGGAGAGGACGCATCTGGGTTAGCCTTCATTTTCATCCCACCAGTCACATGGCAGATGGTTTCCTTGTCAGAAAGATCGGTGACATGGACAGAAGTGTCGCTGAAGGACACAAAGATGTGGCAGATACCACACACATTTTCTCTGTTAGCTACCTGAGGTCCAAGGCTGAGGACCTGTTCTTCCTTCTTTTCTTTCCCCTTGAAGGGGCCATTTCTGCAGGGCTTCTCCAGACTCTGCCACCAGAGAGTAATAACTTAATGTCAGAAATTATAAAATGTGGACCTCTTTCATCAGGTAGTTACATGAGGATTAAATAAGGTAATATATGTAGAACACTTAGTACAGTGCCCAGGAATTTGTTAATAAGTGTCAAATGTTAGTTGTTTTTAGTGTTGGAGAGAGAAGTTCTGATTTCAAACCCAGACCTGCCTTTTATTCTCTGTGTGACACTGGGTGACCCTCCCGATGAGCTGATTAGGGTCAGGAGTAGGTAACTCTGATACGTACAACTCAGCACTGGTCTCTGGACCAGCATGTGGAACCTACTCATCTTAGACCTCCCTGTTTGGTTTACTTATCAGTAACATGGAGTCAGTGATACCACCAGAAAGGCAAGAATGAGAATCACGTGAGATCACTTTGGGAAAAGATCTGGACTCACAACAAATGTTGAGTGAATTTGAATGATTATATTGTTTTTATTCCTGGCAATATTTCTTGTCATGTTTGGGTCTTCCTTATGAACTCCTCCCTCTGATTCTGCCTGCCCTTTATCTTTCCCTGGTACCTATCTGCTCCCTACACTACCCCCCCAGGACTCTTCTGGCATGTTCTCTTATAAAACTGCAAACGCCCATCCTCACATTCCCAGCTTGCCCTGCAGCTCCCTGGCAGGGCCACCCCGGCAAACTGCCAATCGCTGGCCAGTGAGATGCAAGTGGTGTCCTAGGGACTTCTGGGAAACAGAGACAGACTCCTGAAGAGAGCCCCCTTCCCATCCAGCCCTTCCTTCCTCTTTGGACATTGCCAGGTGAGGAGGTAATGCTTAGTGCTGCTTCAGCCACCTTGTGACCCTAAGTGGGGGCACTGCTGATGCACTGAAAATAGCCGAGAGATGAAGAGGGCCCATGTCTTAAATGACATCCCCAAGCAGCTGAACCAGCACTGGAAGTTTTGTGTTTAGACCTCTATCCTGAGGGATTCTTAAATATACTGGTTGGAGGGTCTGTTAATTGCTGCTAAGAACATCAACACTGGCATGATTTAGTTTTCTTCTTACTCTGCCCATTCCTTCCCCTGGTATCTCCTTCCCCTTGGCTTCCTTCCTGTCAACCGCTGGGTTGATCCACAGGGCATTCAGGTGATCAGCAAGCACAGAGGGCAAAATGAGACTTCTAGCTCCCTGGGGCAGGCATGTCCTAGCTGATGAGTTCTTCGGTATCCTATTGTTGCTGCCACCACCCAAAGATGGAGCAAGAAGAACACTTCTTTCATAAAAATCTGAGCCTTAAGAGGGGTGTTGGAAGTCAAGTCAAGAGACTTACTGAGTACCTACTGCACGTACTAGAAACAGGGAGAAGTAAGATTCAGCCCTCACCTTTGAGAAGTTGACCTGCTAGCATACAGTCAACCACAACACCAGGCAATACGTGAAAAGCGACAGAGATCGATAAACCAAAGCATGGTCTTTTATCACCAGAGCCCTGACTGTGAGCTATTACTGCTCACAACATCCTAAGGAGCTTGTGCCAGAATGTAAATCAACTTATCACCAAGTACATTATTTAGCTGAACCGATATTTTTTACATAGCAAACTTTCTTGATGAGGAAAGCTGTGGGTTGATTTACATTCTGATAAAAGTTCACTATTTTGTCTCGAACCAGGATTTTGAGTAGTTCTGTTAAAATGGACTACAAAGGTTCAAGGAGCGTTGATGAGCATTGAGGTCATCATGGAGGAAAGGGCTACGACAATGTATCTTGATGAGATCGCTAAGAGCTGAACAGAAAGGCATGAGCAGAGAGAACAGAGGTAGATGCATTGGTCAAGCAGTAAGTCTGACCGCACAGGGTGCATATTGGGACAAGGTGGAGGTGAGTCTGGAAGACAAAGTCCAGCAAGACAGAAAGAGGCTGGATACGGCACACTGAGAAGTCTGAACCTCTTTTGGTCTAAAATGGGAAGCCATTAAAGTTCTTTAAAAAGTCAGAATATGCTTAAGGACAATTGATCAGGTGTCAGAAATAAAAGCTGGCCTATAAAGGCAAGAAACAAGAGACAGAGGGGATGAGATAATGGCAGGCCTGGACCAGGGAAGGACTCTAAGAAAATGACTGGAGGTGGGGATGCATGAGAGGCAGGGATCAAAAATGACTGCCAGAAAGAAAAACTGACTGCCAGTTTTTCAAACTGACTGCTAGTCTCCTGAGAGTGTCTGTGCAACTCACCACAGTGGGAGGGTCAGGCACACAAGGTGCTTTGCTGGGGACTTTTCTGCCAAGGCCCTGGTATGTAAGCCAGAAACACATGGCCAGCAGGGTTGGGCATGGGAGTAAGGGGTTCAGAACAGAGACCGGAGAACTATGCTCACTGAGCTGAGAGTTGATATCAGAACACACCAGTGAGAGAGGATATCACCCAGGTGAAGAGCAGAGAAGAAAGTCAAGGACCTGGAGAACTGTCTCATTTAATGGTGGGTGGAGGAGGAGAATGGAGCCAGAGAAGACAGAGACCAGGGTATCCTAGAGGGAGAACCTGAAGTCCGCACGTCCACAGACACCCAAGGAAGAGGGCAACCTGAAGCCAGCATGGCTCATGGAATGGATGCTGCTGAGTCTGATGAAGATGAGGTTCTAGCCATTGGGAGCTAAAATTCCCAAGAGCAGTTGTAGAGACATGGGGAGGGCACAGATCAGATTTTAGGATAAAAAAGGGAGGGGTAGGTGAGGGAATGAAGTAGATGACCTGGATATCAGTCTAAGACAGTCTGATAGTAAAAGTAAGAGGGAGGCCAGGGCTAAGAGTAGCCTCTTTTGTAGGATGTGGAAAGGTATAAGCAAAAGGGAAAGAGACAGAAGAGAATGAAAGCTGTGGAAGCGAGTGTGTCTTCCAGGGCCTGGAGGGCAGGACCACAAATGAAGGCATTAGTTAGCCTGTTCAAGGAAAAGACCTGTAGTCTTTTGATAACAGCAAAGGAAGGAAGAACAGCTGAAGAGAAAGAGAGATTCTGAGATTCAGGATACCAAGTTGAAGTTGCTCACAGCACTACCCTGATACTGTGCAAAGTCAGCCACCAGCTGAGGTTGAGGGGGTCAGGCTTGGGCTGGAGCCAGAGCCATTTACCAAACTGCGTCACTGAGTCATCCAAGGTCAAAGTGCTGGAAAATGGCACTAGGACCAGAACCCAAGTCTTCCACCTGCCAAGGTCAGTGGTCTTCCTGCTGCATCAGAAATTCTAAACTTTGTTATTCTAGTATGAGGTGACAGGCCTATAATATTTCCTCAAGTGCCCTTGAATGTTTTATTGGGAAACTAGTCTATTTTATAAGCAGTCCAACAACAGTTTGAGACCACTAGAGAAGTACTGATAATGTAATTCGTCAAGTCTCAAAAATATTAATAAGAAATCTCAGAAAACTAAGAAATATTTTTTAAAATTACATATCAAAACCACTTCTTTTTCCAAGTGAAAAGATGCACAGAAGTTTCTAATGATCTGCTTCTTTCTCCAAATCCTGGCGTAAATTTTTAATGAACAAGTCCCTACAAATGATTTAGAGGAAAATATGAAAGGCAAGCTTTATCCTAGTTAGACCATCCCTTTGCCACAGTCTGCTCTTTCCTGTACTTTCATCTTCTTCCTGGTGACAAGTATGACAGAACCTAAAAACATCTTCTGGGAAAAGGTAGGTTATAGAGATATCCCTGAAGAACTGGAAGCCTGGGTGTTCCTTGAGTCTCCCGTGCTTGATGTCCTGGCCTGGCCTGGGCTGATTTAAAGTGACCTAAGCCTATATTTAGCCACGGGCATTGTCCTCTGCAGACCCGAGCAGCTCCTGTGTACCATGAAGATGAGCTATAATGCTCTACTTATTTTGAGTTATATTTAACTAGAAACTGTGGGTAAACGGGCAATTATACTCCCTTTTTGCTTTATCTTAAACCCAAGGTTTTCCCACCTTGGATTACTTTGGGCTGGACAATTCTTAGTTGTGAGGGGGCTGTGGTGTGCAGGGTGGGATGTTCAGCAGTACCCCTGGCCTCTGTTCACCAGATGACATCAGCACAACTCCTCCCCCTGAGGCTGTGACAACAAAAATATCTCCAGACACTGCCAAATGTCCCAGAGGAAAGAGGGGCAAAACTGTCCCCAGTTGAGAAAAATCACTTTAACTGAATAAGGCCAAGTACCTGCTTTACTATGAAGAGAACCCAAAAAGCAGGATTGTGTCCAGGTTGCCCTGCAGAATAAAGACTTTTTGCCCACAGAGGAATGACCTCTGATCTGGGAGAATCTGATAAAAAACACTTTTTGGCTTTACTCTCTCCAACTCTTCAATATAACACATTGTCAGAAATACTTCTGTTTCAGTGTCCTTGGGCACAGAGCACCTGAGTGTAAGACCAAGAACAGTATGGATATGACTCACCAATTTTTCTCAGTGACAACAGGAGAGTTGCTTGAAGTCTCCGAATGGCCACTGTTGAATTCTGTTTGTGGACTTCTTTTATGACCTATGGGAGCCCCTCAGAATGGGCAGAAAACAAACAAGAGAACAGACAAAAAATCTTAGAGATCTATGGCTAGGTTCAGAGGCAGGGTTAGGCTTTAACGTCTATCCATACTCCATAGCACCTCTCTCCCTGCCCTCTTGCTGTTCTACAGCCTTTGTCTACACACATCATCAAGACTGACCTGCTCTGTGATCCCAGCCAGCAAACTTGGTAAAATAATTCACAGGTACGAGAAAACAAGCTACCTTTCTCCAAGGATAGAGATGGTGGACAGAGATTAGAAGCCCCCAGGAGAGCTCAACTGCCAGGGTGGTGTGTAGGAGTTGGAATGGCAGTGGGCTAGACAGCAGGCCAGTTTCCAGTTCCATCTAGGCAGGGCGGGGCTGGTGCTGATGCAGAATGTACATCAGGGAATGGACTGTCCCAATGTGAATAGGACAGACTGTAACTAGGGAATCACTTCTGGAGTCATCCATTTCTACACTGTGAAGGAGGGCAATTCACTGATAAGTTTCTCAAGAGTGGGAGTAACAAATACAGTTTCTCCTTTCTGTGACCATGGGTGCCTAGCCATATCTAATCAATCATGCCCCTCTTTTCCACTAAATCTTAATTCAGGTTCAAGTTCCTTTTTTTTTTTTTTTTAAGATTTATTTATTTATTTGAGTGAGAGTAAGCTTACTCGAGTAGGGGGAGACACAGGGAGAGAGAGAGAGAGAGAGTCCCAAGCAGCCTCCCCACTGAGTGCAGAGCCCATGGGAGGGGGTGGGCTTGACGTGCGGCTTGATCTCACAACCCATGAGATTATGATCAGAGCCAAAATCCTGAGTTGGATGCTCAAATAACTGAGCCACCCAGGCTCTCCAACTTTAAATCCCTTCTCCTGCTTCTTCTTCTTCTTCTTCTTCTTCTTCTGTTTTTTTTTGTTTTGTTTTGTTTTTTTAAGATTTTATTTATTTATTTGACAGAGAGAGAGAGAGCATGTGCACATAAGTAGGGGGAATGGCAGGCAGAGGGGAGGGAAAATCAGGATCCCCGCTGAGCAGAGACCTGGATCACGACCCCACATCATGACCTTAGCTGAAGACAGACACTTAACCGACTGAGCCACCCGGGTGCCCCTCAAGTTTCTTCTTAACATGCTTTACATCAGAGGTTCCCCTTGTGCAGGTGCCAAATGATCATGACTTCATGAGGACAACAAAGAAAGCATCAATATCACTTAGAAACTTATTAGAAATACACATTCTTGGGCCCCACCCAAGACCTAGTGAATTAGAATGTCCAGTGGTGGCAGCTGGCAACCTGTTTTTTTTTTTAATTTTATTAAATTTTAAAATTTTTTAATAAACATATAATGTATTTTTATCCCCAGGGGTACAGGTCTGTGAATCGCCAGGTTTACACACTTCACAGCACTCACCATAGCACATACCCTCCCCAATGTCCATAACCCCAAACCCCTCTCCCAGCCCCCCTCCCCCCAGCAACCCTCAGTTTGTTTTGTGAGATCAGGAGTCACTTACGGTTTGTCTCCCTACCAATCCCATCTTGTTTCATTTATTCTTTTCCTACCCCCCAAAAGCCCCACGTTGCATCTCCACTTCCTCATATCAGGGAGATCATATGATAGTTGTTTTTCTCCAACTGACATACTTCGCTAAGCATAATACCCTCTAGTTCCATCCAAGTCATCGCAAATGGCAAGATTTCATTTCTTTTGATGGCTGCATAGTATTCCATTGTGTATATATACCACATCTTCTTTATCCATTCATCTGTTGATGTACATCTATGTTCTTTCCATAGTTTGGCTATTGTGGACATTGCTGCTATAAACATTCAGGTGCACGTGCCCCTTAGGATCACTACATTTGTATCTTTAGGGTAAATACCCAGTAGTGCAATTGCTGGGTCGTAGGGTAGCTCTATTTTCAACTTTTTGAGGAACCTCCATGTTGTGGCTGGAGTGGCTACACCAGCTTGCATTCCCACCAACAGTGTAGGAGGGTTCCCCTTTCTCCACATCCTCACCAGCATCTGTCATTCCTGACTTTTTAATTTTAGCCATTCTGACTGGTGTGAGGTGGTATCTCATTGTGGTTTTGATTTGTATTTATCTGATGCTGAGTGATGTGGAGCATTTTTTCACGTGTCTGTTGGCCATCTGGATGTCTTCTTTGCAGAAATGTCTGTTCATGTCCTCTGCCCATTTCTTGATTGGATTATTTGTTCTTTGGGTGTTGAGTTTGCTAAGCTCTTTATAGATTTTGGATACTAGCCCTTTATCTGATATGTCATTTACAAATATCTTCTCCCATTCTGTCAGTTGTCTTTTGGTTTTGTTAACTGTTTCCTTTGCTGTGCAAAAGCTTTTGATCTGGATGAAATCCCAATAGTTCATTTTTTTCCCTTGCTTCCCTTGCCTTTGGCGATGTTCCCAGGAAGAAGCTGCTGTGGCTGAGGTCAAAGAGGTTGTTGCTGCCTGTGTTATCCTCAAGGATTTTGATGGATTCCTTTCTCACATTGAGGTCCTTCATCCATTTTGAGTCTATTTTCATGTGTAGTGTAAGGAAATGGTCCAATTTCATTTTTCTGCATGTGGCTGTCCAATTTTCCCAACACCATTTGTTGAACAGACTGTCTTTTTTCCATTGGACATTCTTTCCTGCTTTGTCAAAGATTAGTTGGCCATAGAGTTGAGGGTCTATTTCTGGGCTATTTTGTTCCATTGATCTATGTGTCTGTTTTTGTGCCAGTACCATGCTGTCTTGATGATGACAGCTTTGTAATAGAGCTTGAAGTCCGGAATTGTGATGCCACCGACTTTGGCTTTCTTTTTCAATATTCCTTTGGCTATTCGAGGTCTTTTCTGGTTCCATATAAATTTTAGGATTATTTGTTCCAATTCTTTGAAAAAAATGGATGGTACTTTGATAGGAATTGCATTAAATGTGTAGATTGCTTTAGGTAGCATAGACATTTTCACAATATTTATCCTTCCAATCCAGGAGCATGGAACATTTTTCCATTTCTTTGTGTCTTCCTCAATTTCTTTCATGAGTACTTTATAGTTTTCTGAGTATAGATTCTTTGCCTCTTTAGTTAGGTTTATTCCTAGGTATCTTATGGTTTGGGGTGCAACTGTAAATGGGATTGACTCCTTAATTTATCTTTCTTCTGTCTTGTTGTTGTAGAGAAATGCAACTGATTTCTGTGCGTTGATTTTATATCCTGACACTTGACTGAATTCCTGTACAAGTTCTAGCAGTTTTGGAGTGGAGTCTTTTGCATTTTCCACATATAGTATCATATCATCTGCAAAAAGTGATAGTTTGACTTCTTCTTTGCTGATTTGGATGCCTTTAATTTCTTTTTGTTGTCTGATTGCTGAGGCTAGGACTTCTAGTACTATGTTGAATAGCAGTGGTGATAATGGACATCCCTGCCATGTTCCTGACCTTAGTGGAAAAGCTTTCAGTTTTTCTCCATTGAGAATGTTATTTGCGGTGGGTTTTTCATAGATGGCTTTGATGATATTGAGGTATGTGCCCTCTATCCCTACACTTTGAAGAGTTTTGATCAGGAAGGGATGCTGTACTTTGTCAAATGCTTTTTCAGCATCTATTGAGAGTATCATATGGTTCTTGTTCTTTCTGTTATTAATGTGTTGTATCACATTGATTTGTGGATGTTGAACCAACCTTGCAGCCCTGGAATAAATCCCACTTGGTCGTGGTGAATAATCCTTTTAATGTACTGTTGGATCCTATTGGCTAGTATTTTGGTGAGAATTTTTGCATCTGTGTTCATCAAGGATATTGGTCTATAATTCTCTTTTTTGATGGGATCCTTGTCTGGTTTTGGGAGCAAGGTGATGCTGGCCTCATAAAATGAGTTTGGAAGCTTTCCTTCCATTTCAATTTTTTTGGAACAGTTTCAGGAGAATAGGTATTAATTCTTCTTTAAATGTTTGGTAGAATTCCCCTGGGAGATCATCTGGCCCTGGGCTTTTGTTTGTTTGGAGATTTTTGATGACTGTTTCAATCTCCTTACTGGTTATAGGTCTGTTCGGGTTTTCTATTTCTTCCTGGTTCAGTTGTGGTAGTTTATATGTCTCCAGGAATGCATCCATTTCTTCCAGATTGTCAAATTTGTTGCCATAGAGTTGTTCATAATATGTTCTTATAATTATTTGTATTTCTTTGGTGTTGGTTGTGATCTCTCCTCTTTCATTCATGATTTTATTGATTTGGGTCCTTTCTCTTTTCTTTTTGATAAGTCTGGCCAGGGGGTTATCAATCTTATTAATTCTTTCAAAGAACCAGCTCCTAGTTTTGTTGATTTGTTCTATTGGTTTTTTTTTTTTTTTTTGGTTTCTATTTCATTGATTTCTGCTCTGATCTTTATGATTTCTCTTCTCCTGCTGGGTTTAGGGTTTCTTTCTTGTTCTTTCTCCAGCTCCTTTAGGTGTAGTGTTAGGTTGTGTATTTGAGACCTTTCTTGTTTCTTGAGAAAGGCTTGTACCGTTATATATTTTCCTCTCAGGACTGCCTTTGTTGTGTCCCACAGATTTTGAACCGGTGTGTTTTCATTATCATTTGTTTCCATGAATTTTTTCAATTCTTCTTTAATTTCCTTGTTGACCCGTTCATTCTTTAGAAGGATGCTGTTTAGTCTCCATGTATTTGGGTTCTTTCCAAATTTCCTCTTGTGATTGAGTTCTAGCTTCAGAGCATTGTGGTCTGAAAATATGCAGGGAATGATCCCAATCTTTTGATACCGGTTGAGACCTGATTTAGGACCGAGGATGTGATCTATTCTGGAAAATGTTCATGTGCACTAGAGAAGAATGTGTATTCTCTTGCTTTGGGATGAAATGTTCTGAATATATCTGTGATGTCCATCTGGTCCAGTGTGTCCTTTAAGGCCTTTATTTCCTTGTTGATCTTTTGCTTGGATGATCTGTCCATTTCAGTGAGGGAAGTGTTAAAATCCCC